GCGCGAGTGGCCAGCTTGGACCGCGGCAATCTCTGGGTCGGCCGCAACTGCGCGGCCTGCCCAGACCAGATTCGACTCGCGCATGCGCCGATCTAAATTTGCGCTCGCCGCCGCCGCGCACCGCGGGCAAGGGTCGCGACTGCCCTTGCAGTCGCGCGCCGGCGCTCGCGAGGACCCCCGCGCTCGCGGCAGGGCGCCCGCGAACTTAGACTTCATGCGCTGGGGGCGCGCTTTCGAACTCCCCGCGCAGGTCGGCGCGCGAGGCGACGGTTTGGCGTTGAGCCCCACGCGCGCGCAATCCGCGCGCGCGACGGACGCGCTGCGCGCAGCGGCCCGGGCGTCGACGGCACCCGCGCGTCGGCCGCCCCAAAAAAACGCCCCAGTCGCGCTCGCGTCGCCATCTTGCGCGCCGCATTCAGGCCGGGCGGCGCGGCCACCATCCAGCAGGATTCTCTTTCCCGCCCGACTCGGACAACCATCTGGTTACCTTTTCGCCGGCTTCCCTGGCGGCGCCCGCGCCGCTCGCCCACCCAAAGCAGCGGGTCTCCGCGACGGGCCCGCCCATCGGCCCCGCCGATCAGCAGTTGCAATGTGAGTGGGTCGGGCGGAGTTCGAGATCCGATGCGCGTTCTCCCCTTTTGCGTCGATGTCCGAGAGCGTCGCCATGGCCGCGCGGCGCGCCTCGACTCGCGCGCCGAACGCGCGCGCGACGCCCACTGACAGTTGATCCGCATCCATGCCGTTACGCGCAGGGCGAAGTCAAGGCAATAGCCAGAACATCGCAAGGCGCTCCCACATCCAACTTGCACATGCCCCGGCGGATCAGGCCAGCCTGAGCGGCAGCAACTCCCACGCAACTCCTTCCACATCCGCGGCCGCGCGCGCGCGGCCGCGCCGGCCCTGGCGTCCGCGGGGCGGACTCCAACTGCGCGAACACCACCACGGAGGCCCAGCAAAGACGATCAGTCGCCTTGGCCCCCATGCCCCAGGCCCCCTGGCTCGCTAGCCGCCCAGAGCCCAGCCTGCATGGGCCAGAGCTGCAATGTGAGGTGCGCTCAGGCTTGCCGCGCAGATGTGATGACGCAGCCAAGCGCGGCGCGTTACAGTAATCGCGCCTGGTGGATGCGCGCCGACGCGCCAGTGGAAACACGTGATTGTTTGCGCCCCCAGCTGGCCTGTCGAGCGGGCTCCGACGGCTCTGTTGGAGACAGGTTTGTTCTCTCCCACCCTGGATGTAACTGTTTATTTTGACGTGACTTAGTGAAGATTACCGTGCTGCAGAGGTCTGATAAAACAAGTACCATGAAGGAACGATGAAAACAATGTCTCCGAAAAGAGAGTTTGCCCGCCGAGGAATGGGAACGATTGCCACGCATTCCGACAATACGCCCCTGCGGGTAGTCTCTTCCGCGTTATACGTCATCAGCCCTCTGCGCGAGTCAAGAAAAACGTTGCAACACTTGCTCTCATCATGTGGGGTCGGCGGAGCTCGTGTCCTATTCAAATGTATATCATCGTCTCCGAGCACATCAGCAACCTGCCCAGTGAATCTCACGCGTTTGCGAGGCGGTCCAGGTGGCCGCGATCTTTGGCGATCCACCGCGCGCCGCACCAGTTGCTGCCATTCGCGCGTGCCGTGCGCCGCGGCCGCCCACGCCCGCGCTTGGCGCCCGGCCCATGAACCACGCAGGCCAGAGTGCCCGACGTCAGCGGGCTAGCTCTGGACACGCGACAGCGCGCGGCGAGTTCGCGGACGCATGGGCGGCGGCGCGAGCGGCAAACCATGGCGTCGAGCCCTGCTCCCAGGCTCGCGCCTACGACGTCTGTGCAGGTGCCCCCAAAAATGCGACGGACCTCGACGAGCGACAGCAATCAAAGGAGCACTGCAACTCAACCCCGAGCACCCAACAGGAGACGTAGATATCAACGCCCACGCGAGCACGCCCGCCTGCCAGCGCACGCACCGCGCCCGCGGCATCGGCCAAGCCCGAGTTGCGCCGCGAGCGGCGCCCACGCCATCGGCTGCCAGGCAGGCGCCCGCATCCATTGCGCCCATCTTTCCCGCCGCCGGGGGCGCAAACCTCGGCTTGCTCGCCTTCGGCATTTCACCACCGCGCAGATGACCGCGACAGAGCGCGCTCGCGTGTTTCAGCCTGTGTATTCCCTCCGCTGCGGCCAGTGTCCTGAGTAGGCGCGCGCGGCCGCAGGGATTGGCCGTAGTTCCACGGCCCGCCAAAACACGCAGTCGTTTCACGAGGTCACACGCGACATCTGATTTTGCGCCCCCAACGATGGCGACGAGATTGACATGTCCACGATCATGTCCAAGACATGAGGCAGGCCCAACATCTTATTCGATCCCGCCGACGCGAGTTTGTCGAAGACGACGCGAGGGCTCGAGTGCGTCAGCACTGCGGCCCAGCCCCACCGCGCATGGCGGAGCTGATCAACGCGCAAGGCTACCACGTGATGCACGCCTAGATCTTGCAGAACTACAGGGGCGAAGCACACTGCTGCTGCCCTGGCGCACCCGCGCGCTGTGCGACGCACGCTGGGGCATCGCCTGTGCCTGGCGGTGCCGTTTGCAGTGTTCCAGGCGCGGGCGCGGCCCTCGCGCCACCGTTGCAGCCGACCTTGCAGCGCCAGCCTCTCTTGCGCTGGGCATCAGCCACGTGGCCGGATCATTTCAAGCACGCAACCTTTTGTCAATGGACTGGCCCTGCGCGCAGCACGTGGCAGCAGCGGCACGTCAGGCAACCGCACTCGGCGCGCAGCATCCGCCTTCAAGGATCACCCGCTCAAAGTGACGAGTAGCCCAACACAATCACGAGTCCCGCACGCACGCGCAAACACACAGACAGCAGTGCAGGCGGCTGGTCCATCAGCGCCTGCACTTTGAAAGGAGGTATCGCCATGGGAGCCTGCGTGTGACGTCATGCCCCCCTACTTTGGCACTTCGAGAATGAGTTCTTGCACCTGCGGCCCATCGCGCCTCATGCATGCAGCGAATTCGGCTCCGATCGGGAGATCCATCACCTTTCTCGTCCTGATCAGCATTGGACCAATCAATTACCACGGCATTCAGAACGCTGTCTTTAAAGAAGGTCCCAGACGAAGCCAGGCGCACTCTGCGCACCGCCCGTGCGCAACCCCCGCATAGCCATGCCGTTCGAGCGCCTGGTCGACTGAACAGTCAATTGCATGCACTCAATCGTGCGCATCACATGCTGCTGGGGCACGTCGTCTGAGACCACGCGTCGCCGCGGCCGCCAACGCAGCGGCGGCGCGATCGCGCGCGGACGCGCCGCGCCTGCCCTGCGCTGCCACAGAGCCCGGCAACTCAGGACTCACGGACGGCCGGGGCGATGACGGGGCCCTGTTTCCAGACGGACCGGCGGCCGAACAACCTGGGAGTCGCGAGGTCGATCGGAGCTTCTGATGGCCAGAGTCGGAGACCGAAGACGCGGCCAAACCCGCGCGCAACGAGGGCAAGACCAGGAACTCGAGCAAGGACGAGCTCGTCCGCGGCGAGGGCCTGTTCGACGTCGTCCACGGCGCCTGCCGCGACAGCGGTGGCACCCGCACAAACCAGAGCATCGGCCTGGGCATCGCGTAGCTGTCCGACGCCTTCCCGCCGCGGAACGCCACCGACCCATTTAGTAGACAACGTCAACGCCCCGGCCTCGCGCGACGGCATGGAAAACATCTCGGAGGCGCGTTTGTCCATCATCGCCTTTGACTTGTGGCTCGTAACGCGACCCACGAAGCAGCAGGGGCCTGTGCGACACCTCGGCTTGCATCCTGTGCTCGGACTGCGTCATCCCGCAGCCTGGCTGGCACTGATCGGCGGGGCGCAGTCCGCCAGTCCCCAGACCGACTAGGCCAAGGCCGCCGCTCGCCGACAGTCTCCGGCAGCGAGGTCCAGCGGCCCGCGGCGCACTGCCGCGAACCAATGGATGGACTGCGCCTGCGCGCTCGACAAGACAAGGGCGGTGAAACTCCGTAGATGCGCATCAACATAGTTACGTTGCTGGCCCCAGGCGCCGCTGAGACTGGCCGCGCCCGCCTGCGCCGGCACGCGCGGATGCGCCGAGGGCGGGCAATTGTACCAGCAAGGGGCTGCGCAAAGATACAGGGAACAAGAAGGTTGGAGTCCAGCATGCGCGATCAGTTCTGCGGCTCGAGCGCGCGCCGGCCACGATCTATGCCGGGCCCTCACGAGCAGCGCCCTGCTGCCAGCCGTTAGGCAATATCGGCCCGTCGACGCTACATCGGGGTACGGGGCCTATCCTTGCGTTCTCCTTGCTGCGGGCTGCCGCTACGATCCGCGACCTTGGCCATGGCGATCTCATCCACGTGCGAGTTGACCGCAGACGAGCCGATAAGGCTCCCCAGGGTTCACGACGCACGTTCCGTTCGAGTTGAAGCTCCTGAGCCAAGGGTGAGCGGTGCCGAGCGCCCGCTGCGTAGGCCTCGCGGTGGCTGCTCTGGCGCCTCGGTGCATGTGGTCCTCCTCTGTGGTCGACATGCTGTGGACGGGCGCTTTCCATTGCCCGGTAGCCCCGATTCGAATAGGAGCACACGTTCGCGCCCGCTGCCATTTTGGCTTACAGCGTGCACGCGGCAAGGGAAAAGACGGCGTGTGATGATAACTCCCGTGTTACCATCGCAGTCATGTTTTCTACTTGTCGCCCCCAGTACCCGCAATTCCAGTTCCACCGCTCCCGCCCCATCGTTGCGCGCGCGGCGGCGCTCCTGGGGGGGTAGGGGCTTCGGGGCCGACCCCCCTCCTCCCCCCCATCGATCATCATTGATTCGCGATCCTTCTCTTCGTTCTCCTCCTCCTCCGCCTCCTCCTCCTCCTCCGCCTTCTCCTCCCGATCCTCGATGATCGACCCTCCTCCTCCCTCTTCGTTGATCCTCCTCGATCTCCGATCCCCCCCCCACAGGGTGGCCCGCGCTCGGCCCCGACGTCTACGGCGGCTGCGACTTCGGCGCGTCGCGGGGCACATGGCCGCCGCGCCCCGAAGGGAGGCCGGATCTCGGCTGGGGCCACGGCGAGGCCGTCGTCGCCGTTGTCGGCGTCGTCGTCGTCGTCGTCGTCGTCGTCGTCGTTTCGGTTGTCGTTATTGGCGTCGGCGGTCGTCGTCTTGGGCGTCGTCATCGTCAAGAGTACCAGGGGGGGCAACAGAGCCCGATACCGCTACACATTTTCCGCTCCACGATGGCTGGATTCGCCACGAAATCCTGTTTAGAACGCGACCCACGAGAGGTCCGTGGCGTAGCGGTATAAATATATGTGTCCCCGCAGAGTAGCAAGAGGAGGAGAAGGAGGAGGAGGAGGAGGAGGAGGAGGAGGATTGGGGTCATAGGGAGAAAGGGGGATTACAGGGGAGGAAAAGAAGGAGGGGGGGGAGGAGGAGGAGGAGGAGGAAGAGGGGGAGGAGGAGGAGGAGGAGGAGGAGGAGGAGGAACAGCAGCAGCAGCATCAGCAGCATGGGGAGCAGCAGGAGGTGGGGGAAGCTCGAGAAAGATGAGAAAGATGGAAGAATCATGTCAAGCTTGGTTCGCTTGCGCCACATATCTGACCCCCCGTCTCCCACCCATCCCTTCCAATTGTGTCGAGTCATTATCTATCCGTCGATGGGGGGGGTGTCCTTGTGGACCTTGTTGCCCAAGTAGAATTTGCAGGATGTGACCATCCGTTCTTGCTCAGTCGGGGAATCTGATTCTGGTACATACGAGGAGGCGAAGAAGAGGAGGAGGAGCAGGAACGGGAGGCTAATGGACAGGAACGGCAGAAGGACGACGAGGTTTATCAAGAATGTAGTGGTGGAGCAGGAGATGGAACACGAGGAGCAGGAATGGAATGCGAGGACGAGGAAGAGTAGCAAAGGGAGCTGGGGGATCAGCGGAAGGTCGAGTGAAAAGGGGGGGGGCCGCAGCGACGTGCAACGAATCGAATCCAGATGTGCGGCCCGCGATGGGCGCGGTAGTGCCTACTCTGTACGACGGCAGTACTGCATCGATTCAAACATGCGGCCAACGTTGCAGCGGGAACGCCACTTGTGGAGTACCGGGAACGCTGGGATGGATACTCATTGTGAAATGTGAGCTACTGTACCCCCATGTGTGTGAACCCCATACGGGATAGAGGCGGAAGCCCGCCAGCACATTGCCAGGGGGAATACATAATCCATAATCAGATTCGCTTGCACTTGCTGACAGTGCGGACTCGCATCAAGAAACCATATATTTTTCGCTAGGGTGCCTTGGGTTTCCTCGCTCCGCGCGCTTCGCGTCGACTTCTCGCGGCCATTGGTGCAGCTGCTGCGTTCAGGGGCTTCGGGATTTACCCCCAGCTGCATCTCGCGCGCGGGCTCTCAGGTCTGGGTTGCCTGCGAGCGTTTCTTGTGGCCGCGTCCGCACCGTCATCAAGAATGGCCGTTCGCTAAAGTGACCCTTGGTGCAGACCCACGGGGGCACCGATAGCTGAATGCGATGCGATAGCAGCGGCTTGCGCGCTCGGGTTTGACCGCCTCCGCGTCCCTTGCCACCGCGAGTACCTCGCTACGGAGCCATCGGCAGGTTCACTGGGGACACTTTTTCAGTCTTTCGCCTGCCCAAATGTTCATCTTTTTTTTTGGTGTTACCTTCTGTTTGGTTTCATGTGCGGATGATGGCTTGTGCTCGGGTTGCTCTTGCTCTTGCTTCTCGGCGGCAGTTGTTGTCGACAGGCCCGCCGTGCCGTGCCGTGTCCTGCTGTGCAGTGCTTGGTTTTCCGAACGCAAGCGATGTGTCTTGCCGTGTTGTGTCGCGCTTGTTCTTCATGGTGGGGCAAATGCGCCTTGCCGTGCCGAGACCCACTAGTGCGCCGTAAGGTGCCGCACTTGGTTTGCATACCGCGACAACTCGGCCGTGCCATGCGGTGGCGCGATTGGTCTGTCTGAATGCGCGACGTCCGCATATTGTACAAGGGTTCGCAGTACACGGAACCGTCCCAGAGTTGCGATGTTTCCCCACATCCTTGGTTCTTCGTAAAACTCATTCGGTTGTCTTTTTTAAAATCCGTTTGAATGTTAGGATCTTGACAAGCTAAACATGCCCCCCCCCCCAAAAAAAACAACGCTACGTGTTTCTTGGTGTTGTTACTGCGTGTTCTAGCGTGTTCAGGCCCGTCGCTACGGATCTTCATGTTGTTCAGCGTTATTGCTCTCTCGTCAAACGCTTCTCCTTGGCTTCACTGCCATCTTCGCTCCCGCTCTCCCGTTCCTGCCGCCGCCCGTTCCTCTCTCGCTCCACGCGCCGAGCGCAGAGCCAGAAACTGTCGAAGCACTCCCTCACGCCAGGCGAACACCAGCGCGGGACAGACCCAGAGGCCCCGCGACCAGCCAGGAGCAACGACCAGCCAGCAGCGACAACATCATCAATGTTTGGGGGCAGTGGGCGCGAGGGGAAGGAAGTGAGGACGTCATACACGGCAATGCTAAACAGCGCAGTCAATGTTTGAAATACGGTTTTAATTTATGCTCAACACGCACAAACAATGAAATGTTTGTTTGGCGCTTTTGGTTTTTAATTGTTGCTTGTGCCTAGAAGCGCTAACACACTGATTTCCAACGCTCCGAGTTAAACAATGTATGATCACGTCCAGGGCGTATTCAACAAGAACCGAGCCTGCATCATTCGTCCCTTTTTTGCTGGGGCTGGGTCAGGGGACCTCCGTGGGAGGGCCAAGCCCGCAGTGGCCGTGGCTCGGCCGAGAGCGTGGCTCCGTCCTGCTCGGCAGGGTACCTGGGGGCCGAGACCTCGTCGCTCTCCCCATCCCCCCTCCGCCCCTTCATCCTCCCTCCCCTGCCATCCCTCTCCTCCCCGTCGTGCCCCTTCACTCCTTCCCGTCCTTCTCGTTCCCCCTCTCTTGTCCCTCCTGCCCTCCCTCCCCGTCCCCCTCCCCCTCCTCGCCTCCTGCCTCTGCCCCTCCCCTTCCGCCCCTCCCTCTCGGTCCTCTCTCCTCTCCCTGCCCTCACCTGTTTTTTTGTTCAGCTCTCTGCGCCGTCGCTCCCCTCCAGGGTCCCAATCCTTCTCTCCGTCGTTCTTGCTTGCTGCCCAGGTTCTCCCAGGACACGTCACGTGGGCCCGCCTCGTGGTGCACAGTATGGGGGACCCCCGAATCGTCGGTAGAATTTCGAGAGTCAAATTCTCTCTGCGCAGGGACGCCAAGTGGTGCGCACTGGGGACGCCGACGGGAGTGCACCCTGCGCGTTTGTGTATGATCTGTCACGTGCAGCTCCCAGTCTGCACCACATGCGTCTGGACCAGTCTCCCCAATGGACACTACCAGTGCGCACCACTCGGTCGGCGCCCCAACTGTGCACCACCGGCCGTTTCCAGCGAGCGCGACCCCCGTGTACACCACCCCGTCCCCCGGTGTACACCATCCCTTGTGTGCACCGCCCTGGCCCGGCCAGCCTGCAATCCATGGCCGTTCTGGCTTAAGCGACTGGTTCGAGCCGCGAGACATGTTCAAAGTGCGAGGCAGGGAGGCACGGCCGTGGCTTGCCTCCCTCCCTCCCGCCGTGCAGGCAAAATCCGTCGTTCGGGCGAAAACGACGCGCGCCGTGCTGTCAGGGCAACCGCGTTGACCCCCCCATCGCGCGCTCAGCAACAACCCGCGCCTGCTCGTTTCGGATTGTGCCATCCAGCGTCGCGCAGCTGCCACTCCCGCAGGTTTCTGCTGGAAACGCTCGCGCGCCGCCCTGCGGGCGAGGCGAACGAGGTCCTGCTCGCGCCAGTGCCAGCAGCCGCGCGCGAACGACAAGCGCGACGAGTGCCCAGTCGTCTGTTGGGCGCGCTGAGAAGTCTGAGCGCGCGATGTGCGGTGAAACGTGGGTCGCGCAACTAAGCCAAGTCCGAGAATCGGCCCAGGTGCTTTGTTAAACTTCAGATCGCCTGGCCGTGACGAAAATCCAGGGGGCGGGGATTTTCCTCCTCCTCTTCCGTCTTTTCTCCCCCACCGCAGCCTTATCTTCAATTTCCGACGACGTAACAGACGACGACGACGACAAGTGCGATGCCGAGTGCAATGGGAGCGACACCGTCGACGAGGACGATCCCCCCCTGGCGAGGCCCTCGCGGGGCCCCCGCCGCCGCCCCCGCGCGACCACGAGCAGGAGTGGGCGCCACCCAAACCTCACTATAGCAGAGCTGCGTGCGCGGTCGGCCCCGAAAAGGCAGCGCCCACGCAGTACTACGGTAGGTTCGCGTCGTGTCGACCAGCGGCGACCCCCGCCCGCGGCGTTTAACGTTGAACGCCGACGGCGGCCCAGAATCGGTCGATGTTGAACGATCGGACGTTGCGGAGACGGCCGATCGTTCAAGGTTGAACGATCCAGCGCGGTGTCGGGAACCAACGCCGGGGTCGACACGACACGAACCTGCAGTACGAGCCTTTGGCGGGCGCTTCCCGGCCACGCCGCTTGAGCAACGAGATTCTCACAACCGCTCGTGCTACATGTTGTTAGTTCGGACGTGCGTCTCCGACGGAGGCGCGCACTGCGCTTAGAACCTTCCGCGCCCCGAGGAGCTGGCGGAGGATTCGCTGCAGTGGCTGCGGCAGTGGCGCGCTGGCGCCCCGGCGCCGGACCTGGCGCAGGAGGCCTGCGGCGCGCATGGCCTGCAGGGGCCCGACTTCGCCGGCATCGCGGCGGGCCTGGCGCGGACGCACGCGGGCCACCAGGCTGCCGAGGAGGAAAGCATTGAAGTCCCGCGCGACTTGAAGAAAAACAAACCATCAGATGTTTAGGTGGCGTCGCCACTTTTTCACACCAGGCGAATGTCTTCGCCCGGCCGGCTTCGGGCCCTTGGACTATCGCGAGTTGGTGCGGTTCGACAAATTCCGCATGAAGACGGGGTCACAGGGCATCAGCCACGATTTTGAACGATGTTGCAATTTTGGTGGTGAGGACGGATCGCAGGGAAGTTGCCGATACCGTTGCTGCTTACACCGTTTCCGACATTGTGTTCCTCCTGGGATGCCCTCGTCGCCACGGATGGATTCACTTCGAAATCCTGGTCCGAGCGTGCCCCGGGAGAGGTCCACGGACTGGCAGTATCGGAATGCTGTTTGTTCACCCAAAGGCTGGCGCCCCCGAGCGCTGCAACGGCGGCATGCAGCCCGCCGCTGGCAGCCAGGCTTCGGCACCACCCGAACATGCCTGTATGTGCGCCGGCCACGCAAGAAAGCCGCGCACGCTTGGACATTTTATCGGATAAGCTCCGTGGTGGGCAGTTTCTGGACATACCGTTCGGGAAACGATGATCTACATTATGTTCGCCAGCGTAGACCCCTAAACCGTGTGTTTTGTAGCAGTAGTAGTTTTGCACTCTATGTTGTTCGAACTATGCGGTGCAGTCTACGTTGTGCAGTCCACTCTGCTGAACTTGAAGTCGTCATTCCACTGCTCGCGCATACATCCCAGCCTCCCACCCGCAACTTGTTTGGCAACATTTATGATGCGGGGGACGGCGGCGCCACCGATGACGACATCGATGATAACATCCTCACTGCCGATGCTCGTCGCCGTGAGTCGATGGCGAAGGTGAACATACCGACGAGATTCGGACGTGCGCGATGACAAGATGACGTCGGCAACGTCTGCGACAATGGCGAGGATGGTACCAGCGACGACGATGTTCAAGAGGGCGACGGCACGAACGAGAACGGCGCCAATGATGGCAAAAACGTTGACGATGCTGGTGTCCATCTGTCAATGAGGCAGGTGATCGCGGTGATGCTGACAAGGTTGAGAAGGAAATCCGCGCGCGCGGAGGTTCAACAAATCCGTCAGACTGATCATGCGCGCGCGGCGGTGTGCGCATGTGGCCCGCGTGGCTTTCGTTTGCAAAGGATTCGCGCCCTCGGCGCGTGACAGGAGCATCGCGGGCGCACCGCGCGGTGACATGAAACCGCTGGATTACAGGACATTTGCAAAACTGTTGATGCAAAACCCTTGGTTCGTTTTAGGTTTCTATGTTAAAATGCTTGCGAACACATGGTGTCTACCATGATTTTGACATGGACGCGCGCGTGATCACTTTGTGGTAGTTCGTGCGAGGGACTGTTGGCTTCTCATGATTTTTTATAAACGAGCGTGCGCGCGTAGCGTTTTTTTGGTTTTTGCAGGGGGTGGCCGGGGGGGGGAGGGGGGGCGATGCCGGCCTGGCTGGGATAGTATGAATTTGTAGTTCGGATGGACCATGGGGCAGAATTATCTGTAAATTGCAACGCGGAAAGGGGGGGGCGTTAACTCCGAGGGGGGGGGGGGGGGTAGAGTTTTTTCTTCTCTTAGTAAGAAAAATCTATGCTGCGCAGCTTATGCTGTTTGAAATAATGCGTGCGCGATGTCGTGCGCGGCATCTGCTGCGCAATCTTTCGTGCGCAACGCGTGCAGCGCGCTCTATGTTGCAAAATCTACGTGGTGCAATCCACGTGGTGCAATTAATTCCTGTTCGCAGTGAGTTGTCCACTCCACTGCTCGCGCAAACATCCCACCCACCCACCCGCAAATTGGTTTGCAAAATCTCTCAAGACCGTGACGGTGGGTACCACATGGCACTTGGCAGCGACAGCGACGCCGACAACGACAGCGACAACGACGATGACGACGCCGCCGACAACGACTACGACGACACCGACGCCGTCTCCAACGACTTCGACGACGCCGACAACGACGACGACGACGCCGACGACGACGACGACGACACCGACGCCGACGACGACGACGATGACAAAGACGACGACGATGACGACGCCGACGACGACGATAACGACGACACCGACGACGACGACGTCAACGACGCCGACGACGACGACGACGACGGCGGCGACGACGACGCCGACGTCGACGACGACGAAGACGACAACGACGCCGACGCCGACGACGACGACGAAGACGACGACGTCGCCAACGAAGACAACGAGGAAGGAGGGAGGACGACGACGGCGACAACGACGACAACGACGAGGGAGGAGGGAGGACGGCGACGACGCGAACGACGAAGAAGGAGGAAGGACGGCGACGCCGACGACGGCAACGACGAGGGAGGAGGGAAGACGACGACGACGACGACGACGACGGCGACGAAATAGGAGGGACGACGACGAGACGCCGACGACGGACGACGACGACGACGAGGGAGGAGGAGGAAGGACGACCACGGCGACAACGACGACGGAAACGACCACGACTCCAAAAAGGACGACGACGACGATGAACACGAGGAAAGACAGAGGACGACGTAGGCGACGACGACGACGACAACGACGCGGGAGGAGGGAGGACGGCGACGACGACGACGACGACGACGCAAGAGCGCGCGCGCACGTTTTTGTTGAAAACCCGTGCTGCGAAAACTAATGTTTTTGCATGTTTTTTGGGCGCACGATTTTGAAATCCTTCCGAAACCGATGGGTTTTGAAGGTTTTCGGCGTACGCGCGCGACGACGCGCGCGTCCGCACTTCGTCCCATTTGTTGCATGGGATTCCCGCGACGGCACACGCGCAAGGGCGTTCGACAGATTTCGACATGAGCGCGCGCGACGCCCGTTTGGTAGCATTGTGTGAAAATCTTGAAACAACTACGGTTCCCTTAAGATTTCGCAAGAGCTTTCGCGGAAGTTTGCTTAATTAGCAACTCTGTGTTGCGAAACCATGTGTTTTTGCATGTTTTTTTGGAAATTCGATTGCGACATCCTTCCCGCACCGAAGGTTTTTGAAGGATTTCGGCATGCGCGCGCGACGACGCGCGCGTGTGCACTTCGTCTCATTTGTTGCAAGGGGTTCGCGAAAAAGTGCTACGCTCGAACAAAAAATGTCACCGCATAGTGTTTTTTTACAAGGGAACCTCAGGGGGGGAACCCGGCTTGGCCGGGATGGTATGATTTCATATGCAGGATGGGCGAGTGGTCAGAATCATATATGATTTACATACCCGAAAGGGGGGCTGATCAGTCCGGGGGGGTAGAGTTTATTCTCCTTTTAGAAAGGAGAATTGACTACCCTGCGCCGCGCTTGACCACCTCCACTGCTCGCACAAACATCCCACCCGCCCACCCGCAACTTGTTTTGCAACATTTCTTAAGACCGCGACGGCGGGTACCACATGGCACTTGGCAGCGACAACGACGACGACAGCGACAACGACGACGACGACGCCGCCGACAACGACTACGACGACGCCGACGACGTTTCCAACGACTTCGACGACGCCGACAACGACGACGACGACAACGACGACGACGACACCGACGGCGACGACGACGCCGACGCCGACGACGACGACTACGACGACGATGGCAACGACGATGATGACGACGCCGACGACGACGACACCGACGACACCGACGACCACGACGACGACGACAACGACGTCGACGACGACGACGACGACGGCGACGACGGCAACGACGCCGACGCCGACGACGACGAAAACGACGACGACGCCGACGCCGACGACGACGAAGACGAAGACGACGACGACGTCGCCAACGAAGACGACGACGAGGGAGGAGGCAGGACGACGACGGCGACAACGACGACAACGACGATCACGACGATGGAGGAGGGAGGACGGCGACGACGCGAACGACGAAGAAGGAGGAAGGACGGCGACGCCGACGACGACAACGACGAGGGAGGAGGGAAGACGACGACGACGACGACGACAACGACGACGACGACGACGGCGACGAAATACGACGCGCGCGTTTTCACTTCGTCTCGTTTTTTGCAGAGGATTCTCGCGTCGGCACACGCGCAAGGGCGTTCGACCGATTTCGACATGCGCGCGCGAAGCCCGTTTGGTAGCATGTTGTGAAAATATTGAAAAACCTAGGGTTTTCTTAAGATTTCGCCAGAGCTCGCGCGTAAGCTTTTTTAGCAAATCAGTGTTGCGAAACCTGGTGTTTTTTATATGTTGTGTGGGAACTCGATTGCGAAATCCTTCCGGCACCGAAGGTTGTTGAAGGATTTCGGCATGCGCGCGCGACGGCGCGCGTGTTATGTTAGAACAAAAGGTGTCCCCGCGTATTTTTTTTTAACCCAGGGGAACCTCAGGGGGGTCGATACCGGCTTCCCTGGGATAGTGCGAATTCATATTTAGGATAGACATGTGGTCAGAATCACATATGATTAACATACCCGAAAGGGGGGCGGATAACGCCGGGGGGGGTCGAGTCTATTATCTTTTTAGGAAGGAGAATTAATTCCTGTTCGCAGTGAGTTGTCCACTCCACTGCTCGCGCAAACATCCCACCCACTCACCCGCAACTTGGTTTGCAACATGTCTTAAGACCGTGACGGTGGGTACCAAATTGCACTTGGCAACGACAACGACGCCGACGACGACAGCGACAATGACGACGACGACGCCGCCGACAACGATTACGACAACACCGACGACGTCTCCAACGACTTCGACGACGCCGACAACGACGACGACGACGACGACGACGACGACGACGACGACGACTACGCCGACGACGACGACGATGACAACGACGACGACGATGACGACGCCGACGACGACGACAACGACGACGAAGACGACGACGACGTCAACGACGCCGACGACGACGACGACGACGACGACGACGGCGGCGACGACGACGACGCCGACGTCGACGACGACGACGAAGACGACGATGACGCCGACGCCGACGACGACGAAGACGACGACGACGTCGCCAACGAAGACGACGACGAGGGAGGAGGCAGGACGACGACGGCGACAACGACGACAACGACGACAACGACGAGGGAGGAGGGAGGATGGCGACGACGCGAACGACGAAGAAGGAGGAAGGATTGCGACGCCGACGACGACAACGAAGAGGGAGGAGGGACGACGACGACGACGACAACGACGACGACGACAACGACGACGGCGACGAAATATGAGGGACGACGACGAGACGCCGACGACGGACGACGACGACGACGAGGGAGGAGGAGGAAGGACGACTACGGCGACAGCGACGACGGAAACGACCACGACGCCAAAGAGGACGACAACGACGAACACGAGGAAGGACAGAGGACGACGTAGGCGACGACGACGACGCGGGAGGAGGGAGGACGGCGACGACGACAACAACGACGACGCAAGAGCGCGTGCGCACGCTTTTGTTGAAA